TTTTAACTATCAACTTTCTAAACTCTTTATCTGGAATTTCTACCACATGGTGTCAATGGGATCAGATTTTGAAGATTTGTGAGCTATTTGTTCCGTTACTCACTCTTTCACATTGTATTTGGGATGATTATATATATATGAAAGAGAGAGAGAGAATTTTAATGTTTTGTTTTGTTTTTTTTTTTTTTTTTAGTTTTCGGCGGACACAACATCTTTGTTTGTATGTGGTGCTGAGGATCGAACCCGGGCCACACGCATGCCAGGTGAGAGCGCTACAGTTTGAGCCACATTCCCAGCCCGGGATGATTATATTTTCTACTGTTATATAAGGGATTTTTTAGTGAGTTGCCTTCTTTCTTCCTTTATTTGCTAATTTTGTTAGCTGTAGACAGACACATACCTTTATATTTATTTATTTATTTTTTATGTGGTGCTGAGGGTCGAACCCAGGGCCTCACACATGCCAGGCAAGTGCTCTACCACTGAGCCACAACTCCAGTCCAAGTTGCTTTCTCTTTACAAAGTGCCCCAGGCTGAGTGAATATCTAAGTGTCAGTATTCCCACTCAATATGTACCTGCTGCCATGCCCAGGATCTAGCACCACTTTGAGAGAATATTTTAATCTCTACTAACAGTAATCACTTTAGAATGAAACCATATGATAATAAGCCTTTAAAAACTGATTGAAAATGTTCTCCACAATTCCTCTAATCCAAGTATATACTGACAATAATGTTCTTGCATATATTGAGAGATTTGGTACTAAAATAGTAAGATTACTACAGCAGTTACTTATATAACCTTTCAATCTTCCCTTTACATAGAGTGATTTCATAGAAATATTTTCATTTCCTGAATTTATAAACATATTCTTTTATGTTAAACTGTAAATATTGAATAACTCACCAAGAAGATGATGTCAGATGTTACTACCAATTCTGAGATCAACCATCCTACAGTAGTCTAATGCAGGATGGCCAGAAACCATCATATCTATGAAGATATTAAATGTTTGAGAGGGAAGAAATGTGCAGGCAATTCCTTAATGAATTGTTGTTAGAGAGTTGCTGGTTCCCTGCATCTTGCCTTTCTCTTCTAACTAACTCTAGAAGCAGGGGCTTCAGTGGTTAATGTAGATTGGTATCTTATTCCCATATGAGATTACCAAATGATTAGGAGATTTGTGATTGGGTGTGATGGTAGAGCAAAGGGAATCATCAGAATTTGTTCAGGCAAAAAATTTTCTGAGCTAGGTACATTATATGCTTCAGAAAGAACTGGCTCGATTAAAACCAATCCAAAGGGCATTTTAGTGGGAAAATAGTGGTTGGCAGAAAAGGCAGAGGTGGACTTCTGTGCTGTGTATTCCAATGATGAAATATGAGACCATGGAAATAGGTACATTCTCCCACACTGAGGAAACTGCAGATGAGAAATCACCAGTGGTGTTCAGGTCTACAAACCATGACAAGATCACTTATGAAAGAGCTAACTTTAAATGAATGCTGGACCCAGAGGGTGAAAAATTGACTTAGGAGCACCCAGTGGTGCACTGATGAATGATTAACAAACAGCCATCTGAGAGTGTGGGTGGAAAGTGTTAAAGAAAAAAAGAAACTATTTAATGACACTTGTTAAAGCATTGTAAGACCTTATTATAAAACAACTTTGATAAGTACAGAAAACATGCAATTGCGGGGAGATACTGGTCTCAACTTCAAACACATTGTGGGGCAAGTGGGAATCCATAGCCAAGAAGCAGTGTGGGATTCAATGAGTGGAAAGTTACTAAGAGGTAGAACATCAATAATAAGGGGAATCCTGGATAAACTGATCTAACAGAATTCTTGTTAAAGACAAGTCTGTATGATCAGACATTACCTGGAAAAAGGTGGAAAATGAAGAACCCAATCAGATAATGGGGGTGATCAGATATCCAGAGCTAAACTCACTTATTCACACTGTTTGCTAAAACTGGATTTTTCAAGGAAGTATACAGATGGGCTCAGAAGAAAGTTCAGAAGCCTGGCTAAAGTTTGGACAAGCAAAGAATCTTTGTTAGGAAGAAAATGCTGATTTGTAGCATTTGAAGATTCTGTAATGTACATAACTTGTTTTAAATTTATTCTACACATTATGATTTCTTCTTTCCTTTTCTCCTCCTCCAATGACCTAGTAAGTAAGATGTAGCAAATGACTAGCAAATAGTAGATTTTTTCATATGTATTGTGCTACACACACACACACACACACACACACACACACACATATATACACATAGTTGTCAGTGAACCTTTATTTTTATGTGGTGCTGAGAATTGAACCCAGTGCCTCACACATGCTATGCAAGTGCTATACCACTGAGCCACAACCCCAGCCTTGCACTTATATTTAATATGATTTAATTAAAAGTTTATATACTTTAATAGGTGGCTATCTATGATAACTGACTTTGAAATTCCTAAGAATTGAACAATTGTCTTCACAAAGTAGTAGGAGCTGGCTCCAGTAYATTGACACCCTTTACTAGGAAATTCCTGTTTCCCTCTCTCTGTCATCCCTGTACACCAATCCTGGAGGGATCAGTCTTTATGGTTAGCAAAAGGGAAGAGATGAACCAGGGAAGAAGAAATTATAATGTGTAGACTAAATTTTGGAAGTCTCAGTTCTTTCAGAATCTTACTTGAAGGAAAGTGAGCTAATCCTTCATTTAACAATATAAGCATTATATTAGAGAGAACGTGTAAAAGATGTATGGCTGCAGGAATGAAGATATAAAAGGAGAAATATGACAAATCAAAATAATGTACATTCTAGTTGGGGTAATATTCATTGTACTTCATTACTCATGCATAATCTACTCCAAACAAGACCTGCCAATACTGATTTCTGCCCTTTACCCATGTAACTAGCTTGTAAATGATCAGCTAGAACTCAGCTKTGAACTGCCCTAAAGTGATCATGTAATTTTTCTCTTTGTTAGTGTGCACTGCAATAAATGAAGAGCCAGTTTTAGTTTTAATGACATTTGGTGTCTGTGCCATGGTAGTCAATTTGGTTATCTCACTTTTAGTAAGATTAAGATCAATCAGTGGGTTTTAGTGTTGTTAGCCTGATCCATTCATTATAAAATTCCCCATCATATTTTTGACTAATGATTTTAGCAGCGATGATGATCATTGCCTAAATCCATTGTTTTGTGGATGTAAATGTTAAATTTTTAATTCTTTCATTTTTTCTGTACTCATTAGCTGTGATTTCTCTATAAAAATACATAACATATACTATTACAAAAAGAAAAATATCTTGCCCTCATTAAATCTGGTTATCCTGAATTTGAATTTCAGACCTAGAAGTTTTCTATACTTAGCTTAAGTCAGGTGATGTTTGGAAGAAGTGCTATGTACCAGGGGAAAATCACCTCTTGGTCTAGGGCATCTGGCACCACTGACCATCCTTTGCTGTATGCATCTTCTATGGCTATGAAAGGAAAACTGGTTGATTAAAAAAGTGAATGCACCGCAGAGTAGGTAAGAATTTAAACATAGAGGATGCAGGCGAGCAGGTCTGAAGAGAACAGAGGTCTGGTTCTTTTCATATTTATTACTGTTCTTCCTAGAGTTGAGATGAGGAATGTTTTATTGGTTTAAACAACAACTACTAACCATCCTGGCTTAAATATAATCTAAATAGTAAAAAAACAAAAAACAACAACAACAAAAAAACCCCAATAATGACAAAGCCACTTCATCTAGGGAAAAGGACAGTGGTTTGGGGAGTCAGAAAATCCAGTGTTATCCATTTATTTTGACAAAATTTTAAAGACTCAACATGTGCTAGATACCAGAAATTCCAAGGTGAATGTTAAATAGTTTACAGGAAAGGAGTTCAGTTTGTCCTGAATCTTCCTCTGACTTGCCAAGTGGAAATTCACCTGGTTTTAAGTTATGTCTTGCTTAACCACAGGGAAATGTTCTCTTGGGTGATTGCGAGATTGTGCTAACACCCAGGTGTACTTAAACAACCTGAGATGTTGCATGACACTAGGCATTAAAATCTTTATTGACTGAAATGTCATAGTGCATGACTATAGTTTGAATTAAAACCCTCCAAATACACTAAGACACATCAAATATTCTAACACTTCATTAAGAAAACAATTATTTTTGGAGGTTGCCAAGGTACTATTATTCTTAAAAAAACTGCTAAAAGGGGAAAATAAAGTATTTATACTTCCCTTTTTTTTACACAATCTATTTCTGGAAGTGTGGAGAGAAAATACATGTACAAAATACACCAATGAGATTAGTTGATCCAAAAGCTTCTGATAAGTGTATCTGTTTTGCCTATCTTGGAGGGAGATTAAGGTGAAAGAAAGAGCCTGGTGGGCTGCATAACCATTCTTTGGGTCTAAGACCACTTTCTGGCTTTAAAATGCAGTACTGAGAGTCCCGACTGGCTGGGGCATGCAGAAGCTGACAGCCCTTTCGGATTAGAATCACACGCACCAGGTACATTGTAGGTGACATGCGGCGGGTTCGCCCTGGGGTGGGCAGCACTGTTGCCTTTTGGCCCCTGCAGCAGTAAGCCCAGTTGCCTTGTCACCCAGCCAAAAGAGCGGGAGAACAACTTCCAAGCTAGCACCGATACTAAAGAGCATGCGCGCGAGCGCCAAAGGCCACTTCCGGCCGTCGGAGCCGAGGGGCGGGGCGGTGCGGTGCGAGGCGCGGCGTGYGACTCCGACGTGTGGCTCGCGGCTGCCCCCTGCTGGCGGCGCGGGTGAGACGACGGAGCTGGAGAGCCTGCCCGTCGGTGACCGCGCGCAGCTCGCAGAGCCCTGGGCGTCCTGAGCTGCCCAGCGAGGCCCGTCTCTTGTCAAGAATTTTACCATTATTATTTTAAACTCACAATTTCCCCTGGCCCGCAAAGCGTCCTTTTGCTTGCTGAAAAGGGGAAACTAGAGAAGGAGGGTAGAAAAGATCCCGCCTTCAAAGAGAAGATGGAGGAAGGCGCCCAGAGCTTAGATTCGGATAGTGATGAAACTGTGATTGAGGGGTCGGTGACAGAGAGCGACTTGGAGGACGACGAGCTGCCCTGGAGAAGGTGACCACAGTTAGGCCTGCAGCTTCAAACCCTCGTGCCACTGRGGGCCCACGCGCTGTTTGAGGGTCTCGGGGTGGAGTGAAGTCGTGGGTCGCAAGCTGAGGGCTCGTGGGCAGGTTAGAGCCTTGGGGGAGGGGGCAGCCACGCCTGAGCTGAGAATTCTTAAGTAAGCAACAACCATGGGCCCTTCACTCGCCTGTTAGCGACAAAATACCGTTTACAGTATATGGCCTCATGGCATTTACCAAAAAATTATTACCTCTTAGACTGGGGCTGTATTTACTTTTGCACAGGCACAACAGTCTTGGGATGGAAATCCTCAAATGAGTTTTGCGTCAAGCTAATGAACAGCATTTCTCTCAGGAAAAGACTGTGTGATAGAGAAACTGGTCCCGACCCAACTGAACGGATGTTGTAGAAGGACAAAAAAGTTGGAATTTCAGTTCATCAAAGCTTTTCTTAAACATCTTCTCTGTGCTCCACATAGGAAGACTCAAAAGGATGAGGCTGCTTGCTTTTGAGAAAACTTAAGACCAGGAAAAACACTTAGGCAGATAATTTCAACATTCCACAGGAAAACTAGGGATGGAGGTATTTCCAAGATAGTTTAGGAGCCCAGAGAGACTCAACCTCAGGGTAGAGTTTGTTAGGGTTGGTTTATGAATAAAAGCTTGAAGGTGTTTTAGGAATTAGCCAGATGAGGAAGAGGTTGAATTCTTGGCCAAGGATCAAAAGGGGTAAAGGTTTAGAGGGGCATAGCGTTGTGGTATGTGTTTTGGAACGTACAAGGGGTTAATCTTGTAGAATTGTAAAGTATGATGTGGAGAGTATGAAAGAGGAAGCTAGGGTGCAGCCATGTAAGGCCTCATGTGTGCTCTGTGTAGTCTAGTAAAATGCTCATCATAATTAGATTTCCATTCACTCTGGTATGCCCCAAATTAGAGGTTTCAAATTTTAATCTGCTTTTAAGTCACTCTGGAATTCTGCTAAATTGTGCATGATTCCAGTTCAGGAGTTCTACGGTGAAGTCCAAGTTTCTGCATTTCTAAGAAGCTTCCAGTTTAAAGCTGGTACTGTTCAAGCAGGGATCTTCTTTTGCAAAGCAAGCTTTGGGAGCAAAGTAGAATGAGATGATGGGGATTAAATTAGGAAGAACCAGTGGGAATGGAGGGAAAAGGTCAAATTTGAGAAATCTTTAGGAAGTAGATTTGGTGGGAGATGCTGGTTGATTATATAAAGGGGCAAGGGAAGAATGTAAAGGGTGATATCCAGGTTTCTGGTTCTTTTATATGTATATATATATATAGTAGTTTATGCTCTTGTTGGAATATAGAGAACATTTTATCAAATGAAGGAGTCTCATAATCATCCCCCAAATCAAGATTCAGAACAATTTCATTACTGTAAAAAAAAATGTGTGCTGCCCCCTTAGTCAAGCTGTACTACACCCCCTCAATTTGATTTATTGTTCTCTTGTATGTAACTTTTTTCTCTGCCTTCAAAGTTTTTTTTCTTTTTTCTTGGTACTTTTTAATTATTCATAAGAGTAGGATCCATTTTGACATAATTATAAAAGCATGGAATATATCCCAATTGCTTCCTACCCTCTACTGATCTCAAAAGGCAAAACAGAAGACAAAGGCAAGGTTTTTTCTTTTCTTTGGTGCTCAGCAGTTTGATTATGGAGCATGGTTTTCTTTTTCTTTTCTTTTTTCTTGTTTGGAGTTCACTGAGCTTTTTCAGTCTGTAAATTAATATCTTTCACCAACTTTAGGAGGTTTTCTGTCATGATTCTTTCAAATATATTTTTTCACACCACTCTTTCTCCTTTCCTTTTGGTACTTCAATGATGTGGATATTAGATCTTGTGATATTACTTCCCAGATCCATGAGCCTCTATTTATTTATTTTTTAAAATTTTTAAAAATTTTCTCTCAGTTTTTCGAACCATATAATTTCTAATGCAATCTACCACTGGGCCACAACCACAGGCCCCTCAAAACTTTTCCTCTAAAATTTCCACTTGGGGTCTAGGGTTGTGGCTCAGAGGTAGAGCACTTGCCTACCATGCGTGAGGCACTAGGTTCAATCCTCAGCACCACATAAAAATAAAATAGAGATATTGTGTCCACCTAAAACTAAAAAATAAATATTTTTTAAAAAAAATTTCCACTTGGTTGAGGCTGGGATTCTATCTCAGTGGTAGAGCACTTGCCTTGTACATGTGAGACACTGGATTCCATCCTCAGCACCACATAAATAATAAATAAATAAAGATATTGTGTCCATCTACAACTAAAAAAAATTAAAAATTTTCCATTTGGTTCTCAAGGTTTATATTTCTCTCCTGAGAATTTCAATCTTCCCATCCATTTGATTAATGTTCTTTTTATCTCAAAGAAGATGGTTATGATAGTTGCTTTAAACTCTTTGACTTATATTTTCAACACCAGAGTTATGGGGTATGGGATCTCTTTCATGTTGAGTAATTTTGGATTGTATCCTGGATATTTTGAATATATTATGTTGTGGACTCTTGACCTTGTTAAAATCCTTTAGAGAGTGTTGGTTTTTATTTATTCTGATAGGCAGTCAACCTAGTTTACTAGTTTAGACTTTGTCTTCTGTTTTGCCTTCTGTATGTGTGGTGGTTACGTTAGTCTTTCCTGTGTTATTTGAGTCTGTCTGTGTGTACCATCAAGGAAGTAATCTGGATGTTGAACAATAGTTAATATCATAGTTGAGTTCTGTAAGTCTTAGTTATGCTTCCTAAGGTCTGTTCCACATATGGAACAGTTCAGAACTATGTCTGGAATTTATGTTGGGTCATGTACAGGTGACTCTCCTTTCCCTATCTCTTCTCCAGGATTCTTATACCTGCTTCACTCCCTATACCTGCTTGCTGTTTCATGTGACCAGAAAGACAAGTTTCTCTTAACAATTTCCTATAGCTAGAGCAGGCTTTAGGGCAAAGAGTTAAGAGAGAAGAGGGGGATTTCCCCCATACTCCTCAAACTTACACAGACTCCCTTTCCCAGTTCCTCTATTAGAAAAAAGCTTTTTCTTTAGTATTTAAGTGCCCCAGATGCATGGTTGGTATTGATACAGCTCAGAGGCTGGGACTGGCCTTGAGACAGGGCTGGGAGATCAGAGAGAAACAAAAGAAAACCCAGTGGTTTCCTATACACTTTCTGGCATGCAGGAGTTCTTTTCCTTTGTCTTCTGGATGGAAATAGGGATTTTCTTTCTTTCTTTTTTGGTGCTGTGTCCACTGTGTAGTTCTGGGATTAGACTTTAAATCAAAGCAAAACAAAATTAGACTTTAAAACAAAACAAAACAAAAGAACAACAACAACAACAACAACAACAAAACCCAAAGAGCCTAAACAAACAAAACCAAAAGAAATAATAAACTGTAACTCTAATAATAAATGGATATTCCAGGTGATTATTCAGATTTCAATTTCAGTTTCCAGTCTAACCTGATATTGCTTACTTTTTGGAGTTCTCAGATAGCCTTTTAAAAAATAGTTTTCTAGAGTTTTTAGATGTAATGAGTTAGATAAATAGGCTATAGATGGCTCACTCTATCTTGGCCCACCAGTCTCCCCCTGCCCCCCAATTCATTTTTAAATATTTATCTGCAATGTGGTAGGAACATTCTTTCAAACTTTCTAGACCAATATTAAAAATTAGTGTTCTTTCAGTGAAACAAAGTCTAAGAAGAACTGGAGCCAAATGCCAAGTTTTTTGGTTTTCCTTTTCTTCATCTTCTTTACTTCTGTATGATTAATTTTGGCTGTTTATCATGTATGAGCTCCCAATTTTGATTGGAATGAGGAGTATAGATCCTAGTAGGGCAGGGATCTCCAACAGGCAGAACATTATAAGGTTCCATATAGTTCAGTATTCCTGAAGAACTGTAGCTGCTAAGATGTTTTTGGTGAGAATGGAGAGTTTCATGACCTTTGGGATTAGAAGAGGCAGTACTTAAGGTTATATCTCAATTTAATCCTATTCAGAATTATGGAACTACCTCATTGTTACATGAATTTGAGTTTATGTTCAGTGACCTGAACTTGAATTTATGTAACAGTGGGGTAGTTCCATAATCATGTCCTCTGAACATTATAATTGCACATAGTAAAAGGCTACCTATGAACCTGAAAGATAGGTGTTAATTCTGTTCCTTCAAGATAGATTAGTAATGTATTCATATGAATTGCCTAGATTGAAAATACTTGTTATAATATGTAACAACAAATCTCACCATTATGTACAATTATAATGTACCAATAAAAATATGGGGGAAATAAATAAAAATAAACACAAACAATAAAACATTAATACAAAATAAAATACTTATTAAAAAGGAGATGCTCCTAATTGAGGAAGCTAGGAACGGAATATAAAGTACAGGAAACAAAATTAATCATATTAAATTAGCTAATGAAAACAACCATTTGGGGCAGGATCTATGTCAAAATAGAGGCTATTGCACTGATTAATGCAGAATGGTTACTATTTTTAGAGGTGTTACTGTAAATGGATATTTTAATATTTTTTTTGTGTGTGAATCAGACTCAGTATGGCATTAGGACTCTGTGTTGTCAAAATTTTGATAACATAAAACTGAAACCCTAATTGTCATGAAAATTGTCATGAAAATTGTCATTGTACATTTTTGGTACTGGGGATTGAACTCAGGGGCACTTTACAACTGAGTTACATATCTAGCCCCTTTTTATATTTTATTTTGAAACAGGTCTGCCTAAGTTGCAAACCTGGCTTTAAACTCACAATTCTCCTGCCTCAGCCTCCTGAGTCATTGGGATCACAGCTTCACTGTGCTTTAACAAAGCAGTGAAAAGTATTTCAGGTTTTCAGATTTTACCCCTAAATTTCCCTTTCGTCTTAATAGTTAAATAAAAGTTCTCAGCATTTCTTTTTTAAAATTTTAAAGTTATATTTTATTATTAAAATACTACATCCATAATTAA